ATCATCACCATCAGAGAGGGCTTACCTGTGTAGCTGTTTGGGCTGCTGTAGTTGGTCCGGGCCTGAGGCTGTGTCTGTGTCTGTGGTGGAGTCTGGGGTGCAGGAGAGGTGAAGAGTGCCTGAGGCGTTGAGCTGAATGCTGGGTTTGGTCCTGGGGAGCCATTAGGTGAAGCTGCCTGGGAAGGAGCAGACGGGCTGAGAACTGGTTGGGGTTGCTCCACTTGGGTCTGTCTGATGCTTTGAGCTTGTTGTGGGGAGGACGGCTGCTGCCTCTGGGTGGAGCTGGGTACCTGGGCCAGGGGAGACTGCTGGAAGGTGGGAGGCTGGAAGGCTTTGTCTGGGGTGGACGAGCTACGAGTAATAGGAGGGCCCAGCAGTGCATCCAGATGGGGGTTACTGCTTAGGATGGAAGATGAAGATGGAGGTGTGGTAGTGGTGGTTGGGGGGGAAGCTGAGGTGATGGTCTGAGTCAAACCATGAATCTCTTGTATGGGAGGAGCCGTGGTGTATGGAGGGGCATCAAAGAGTCCTCCAAACTCCATGTCCTGGTTGCTGATGAGCTGGAGCATGTCTAAACAGGAAGACAAATCACAGCCACTGTGAACGTTATTGTTCAAGTAGAAAATTTATAGCAATTTGCCAGCTTTAAACAATTAAATATGGACCAAGATCAAATCTATAGGAACTGTAAATTTCTCGAGAAAACTTGTTTAGAGATTGAATTACCGTACTATCCATTTCAGTAGCAAACTGCACTTTAATTACCAATTAATCAACCCACATGTACTGTGACTGTTTATGATCAAACATCACTGGCAACAATTTCAGTCATGCTAAAGAAAATAAAAACGCAAGTTATCATATATCTAAGTATTATTATTAATATATAATTGCAGGGTAGAGTGGGAAAGCATAAAAATGGATAAGGCCAATGTGATGCTCAAATAGAAAGGAGCATCACCTTGAAGCGTGTTTTGGTATTGGGTTAAAAAAATAAAATAAAATAAAAAAATAAAGCTAAATGGCAACAAACAAAGTTGCATTAAAAAGAAGGTTTTAAAGGGGCTTTATGCAGCCCTGTAAAAAAAGTTTAGTTCAGACCTTTGCAGGCATTCGTTCATGCACAGCTCTTTTAAAGTCTCCCCGCGGCATTTTCTTAACGCGTTGATGTCTGGACCTCAACTGGGTCACTGCAAGACCTTGACTGTTTCCTTTTTCAGCCACTATCTTGTACATTTGCTGCTGTGCTTGGGAGCATTGTCCTGTTGCATGACACAATTTCGGCCAAGCATCGGACAGATGGCCTCACACTTAACTCTAGAATACTTTGAAATACAGAGGAGTTCATGTCAACTCAATCAATGCAGGTTGTTCCAAACACAACCCCCAAGTCATCACCATTCCATCGCTATGCTTAACAGTTGATATTAGGTGTTTATACAGATATGCTGTGTGATGTTGTGCATTATGAATTATTGCTCTAAAACTGTTCTGGTTTGTTTAGCTGCAACTTTGCTCCTGCATGTGCTTTTTAAACTTCAACTTTACTGTCATTAATGTTAACATTTAATATGCTGTAGATTATGTAGCTCATGTGTTTTTTTGAGGTTTCTCTGACCGTGAGGTGAATTTGGGACTTCCACAAACCCATGTACTGCGAACCAGAAAAACTTCTGCTTTTATAGAGTCCATTCTTTTCACATGACTGTAAATGTAGTACATCACATGTACTTATGACTACAGCAGTTTAAAATTGCTAAAAACTAAATTTTGTTTTGTTTCATCACATTTTCCATTAACACTCAAAGAATTACTAGAAAACTACTTTAAAATATCCAAGCAGGAGATGGGGTGTCTTACGCAGTTTTAAAAAAACACACTTTACAAGAAAGACTGCCTCTTGTTGCGTTAGAAAACACAGCAAGAAATACCAGGTACAGGTATACAGTACATTTCACACTTTAAGTTTATCAAGCCATTCATCATGTGCGTGCAGCTGTAGGTCCAAGAATCCAAGTGGTATATTATTAATGAGTTATTAATCTTAATTTGTGCTCGTGCACATATGGACTTGTAGGTTTTCATTAGCATGATCTAAAAGATATAAAACATTTTAATATGTATCTTTTCCAGAAGATTTGCTAATTACAAAGATTTAAAACTGACAAAAAAAAACTTTACATGGAAAAAAGTGGAAGCAGTGTGCTCTTGAAAGACATAAGACACTGAAATAATTTTCACAGCATTTTTTACAAGGACAGTTGACCGCGTTTAATTTCTCTGTTAAGTGATTCTGAGTTCATGTTGTGACTGCAGTATAAAAAAAGAAAAAAACGAGCAGCCTGGATTTGTGAAGCAGTGTTGTGTATGAGGTGATCGCTCTTGGCCAATCAGAGCGCATCTCGGAGACTTGCTATGCCGATCAGCCCAAGACAGGAAAAGAGAGGGAGAGCTGCCTGTGGCAATGAGTGTGAGGTTACCATCGAGCAGTGTCACAGAGGGTTACTGTCGGTCAAAGTCAGAGAGATGGAGAGCACGGCCGCAGGATATGAACACTGTTTACGCAGTGCGTGTTATCTTATTTACACGTCGCCCCCTATCACAAAACACATACTGGCCAATTTAAGAAGACTGACAGAAAACTCCAAATCTTAACAATACTCGAAATACTCTTGTGATTTCGATTGAAGGCTTAAATTGTTGCACGAATTTTATATATGAATCATACTATATATGCTGTTTGTTTTTTGCAAAAACGGGCACGTGGATAGCACTATATTCGCAAGAAAACAAATAAAGTCGTCCACAGAGCATATGGCTAGATTAGTTTTCAACCGATTAATTTGGCATACATAAATACATAAATATTTGTCAAATCGGTCAAGTGAGGCTCTGTGAACCCAAAAAGAGAGGAATGAACGACAGTAACCCCGGTCTATGGAGCACGCTGGGGGCGGGGCGCACACGAAGCTAGCTGTACGTTAGTGTCACATATTCGCCTCATGAAATGCGCTTCTATTTTTCTATTGAACAGTAAGACACACAGACGACTTCTGATATTGCAAGAATCATCGTTATAAATTACTAACAAAACATCCCAAATATCACTTCCGGCTAGCCTCCATATACTTGCTCACTGATAGTTAGCATGTAGCTAACAGTGGATGATGAAAGCTAGCTCTCAGCTTTTAAAAGCTTTTATTTAAAAGATGTCTTTGTATCGAATGTCGTTGTAAGTGATGTTGTTAGTGTGATTATTACATGCAGAACACTTAAAGAATTGATACGAAAAGGAATGATAACACGTACGGTGTTACCGGTTTTAGCAACTGTTTTAAGCCAGCAGCAACCATTATATTTTCTTACCATCAATGTCGCTTAGGAGGGCCGTGTCAATATCACTGGGGTCGTTAAGCGACAGTGTTGGATCCAGATTATCCAACGAATGATCGTCAAAAGACAGGCTGTTCATCTTTACTGTCGTGTCTGGGCTTTCCAGTGTAGACTTGACTGACTGTCGGCGAAATCGGAAACTTCTGAGTCCTTACATTTGACAAAAGGACCAAGATCCCCGTCCTTTCGTCACATGCGCAACGCGAGCTGCAACTTTTCTTATTTTTGTAACTTTTGTGTCAACTAACTGCTCACAACTAGCCCCATCATCATCCTGGGAAACTTGTCAAACCAAGCCAAACACCGACGCTCATTCACTACTAACGTGCTTACAGCGGTAGCCAGAGAAACCCATCCAACCGATGATGATTGACAGTTGCCCCAGCCAATCACCCTCCTTTGAACTAGATTCCCACGTCCCTGTTTCTCAGACTTGTTTTGATTGTTTGAGTAAATGAGTCAGGGCATGTGGAGTATACGGCCACGATCTAGCACAATTTATACACAAAAATCATATAATGTACAAAAAACAACAAATAATTACAATAATCGAAGAAGTGATGCCGTGGCTAGAAAATATTTATATGGTTACATTTGATGGGTATGTAAAAAAAGCTAACTACAGCATAAACGAGTTAAGTTATGATCCCAGAGCAGCTTAATACAGTTCTGAATATCTTTTATAATATTGATTATAAATAAATATATTTTTTTCTCTTTGTATACAGCATGGACATGTTTATTGTGGGCTTGCCACCAATAGCCAATTATAATCGTGTGGGGCGTGCGCTTAGCGACAGCCAAGCTTGTTTGACTCGAATTAGCGACTCCTCCTGTAGAACCAGTAAAACCGTCCAATGAGAAGCTCAGAATCAGAGTGGGGTGATCTGACGTTGCATCTTTGGGTCTAGCGATTACATCATGTGTTTCGCTCCTGGAATGATGGAAGCAGGAACAGCAGGAGGAAAATAAACTGCACAACTACATGTAGCCAGAAGGGAAAAAAAAAATGAGCACGTGTATTTTAACAAAAACAGTTCCTGCAACTCTTCGTAATGGTAGTTTACATTACATTTTTTCTCCCTCTCCTATAATAATTAGTAACGTACAAACAGGCAATGCGGGTGTTTTTGTTTGTTTGTTGTATCCCTAAGACTTCATTTGAAACACAATCTTTCACAATGTCTATGTTTAACGCACTGTTATAGTAACACAAAAGCAGAACCCCACAATGGTATTGTAGGAAAATAGGTCAGTGACCTAGAGTAGCACTGCTAAGTTTTCAGTAAAGTTTGGTAAGATTATATAAAGTCCAGCATGGTTGGTGGTCAAGTGTGTAACAATAAGTCTTGTCCGTTTGTTTGCCGGAGTTTGTAAAGTTGGCTAGTCTTGGTCCTCAGGTAAAGGAAGGAAAAAATGATTCTTTTAAGGATCTATGTTGTGCAAATGCCCATAAACAACCACATGTGAGAGGGTGAAAGGCTCATTTCACAATGAATGACCAGTACAGTACAAGATTGAGTCTGGGTTGCATCAGCATGTACATGAGAAAAGAGAGACTAGTCACAGATCCCCTAAGTGTAAAATAACCACAAACAGTTATGAGGTAGAGGTCACACACTGCTAGTGTTTTATTGGGCAGTTACATACGTGCATTAGGTCAAATACAAATCTGACCATTAGTAATGGCAGCAGACAGCACAGCCAGAGAGACATGGAGCACCCACCGATAGAAAACAAGCCTCAATTCCATGTCCACAAAACACAAGCTTAAATATCCCGCTTCGCGGGTATTAAAGACATTCAGTTACCACTTTAAAGATAGCCAGAATTTAGAGGAATACATGTTGCAACCAGGACTTAAGCTTCATAAGAGCAAGTTAACACAATACACTCTGTTACAGATGCAAAGTTACAGAACACACAAACACAGAAAACTGTCAAAGTTCCCTTTAAAGAATCTCCTGTTACAGTTTTAGTAACCGTCCTTGTTCAACTTGCATGGTAGATGTTTTTATATTTGTTATCTGGCAATGATAATAAACCCTCAAAACCAAGTGTAACCATACAGCATGAAAGAAAATTAAAGCTCATTATCATTATTATTTTTTTAATCTAAAATACATTGATTACACAAATACATTTTTAATGTCACCTTTGCATCTATGTTAGCAAGAAGCTTTACAACTGAGGTGCAAATGGGCTGCCTCTGATTAACAAGGCTTTTGGTCTTAAATGGACTGAAAGGAGAAAAAGAAAATCTGTTTGAAGTGCAGTGTTAAAATGAACTGGAAAAAGAGCTGCAAATAAGACGGGTTTTCTATTTTGCCTCGGATCAAAGACAAAACCTTTCTCGACAGAGCAACTCTGCTGAAATCAGTCGGTCATAGAAATGCTTGGCAGCAGCTCCAATGAGAGCAGATGAATCATAGCAGGTTGAAAATGCACAGGAAATAAACTGTAATGTGTTTGACTGCACGAAATCAAAGAACGCAAAATCGTGCTTGCTTCCCGCACGGTTCAACCTCGGCCTCAAAAACATCAGTTGTTCGTTTCCCCTTTGTTGTTTTTTTAACCATGAATTATAAAAATACAGAAGGGGAAAACAAAATAATACTTTCAGTGATCCTGATATTATTATGACCCAATAGATTTTTTACAGAAACCACCGTTTCTGTATTTTGAGGTATATTGATTAAATACTATGGAGTATGTGAAGATTTGCCTGTGTGAATGCATCTGTTACCACAGCACACTTGTCTTGTAGATGATTATGATGCCAGTGCTAAGCTGACATTATCATTTAAATCTTTATTTCTGTGTTGCATCTTTATGGAATTTCCAACAGTCCAATGGTCCATCTATCCACTTGTTAGGCAAACAAGCGCACTAATTACATAGTTAGAAAAGTTATGTGCAAAATGAACTCATTCTTAAGATCATTTCCCATCCCCTAGAAAAATAGTAAGCATCTTGTAAACACAAAAGGACAAAATACAGATTTTTCTTTTTTTGCTTCAAAGTGCACAGACATTAACGCGGCGGGGGGAGGAAAATTTTGACAATCCAGCAACTTATTTTGAGCGTGTGAATGTCACTATTTTTCGATTGGTAAAATGAAGAACTAGTTTGTCATTAAAGCATCAATATTCTTTGGAATGGCTTAAAGTGTTTGCAGTTTGCGGCACTTTTCTACATTAACTTCTTGTAGCTTTTCAATGAGCATCTTCCTTCCCCTTAGCTATCTGAAATAGATACGAGATAAGAGTGAATCCTAACTAGTACATTTTTTGATTTTTATTATTCTTAATTCCCTTTGGTTAGAGGAATGCTGGCATACACATTTTAAAGAGATTAGCTAATATTATAATCTTAGTTTGCAAAATTAGCCTGCTAACATGAAACTGTTCATTACAGTGCCTTAAGCAAACTGGGTAATAAGAGGCGCTGCCCTGCCACGAATATCTCAGTATTAAGCATAACTAGAAATCCACAACTCTTAACAAATGCACTGATCGATCAGTATATAACACAAAAAAATAAAACAATTAATGCATAAATAAGCATTTAGCCGAAATGTAGTAAAATAACACAATATACTCCTAATAAAATGCTTCCATACTGACTCTGTGAGTAGACCTTCAGAGAAATTTCCCAGTAATCTCACGGTCAGGTGTCACATTTTTAAACCACATGTCAGTTAAGTGAAGTTGTCCTCCTTTGGTGGCGAGTTATGGAATGAGATGCGGGGCTGCGAGCAGTACATCCCACACTGACAGATTAATACATCCATATACAGTAAAACATAACGCAGTAATGTGCAGTAAACTTGTTGGACCTCTGATGGTTAGAGCGACACTCTGGCAAGATAACAACAAGGAGGTGGAGATCAGTTGCTACACCAATGCCAGTCAGCAATGAAATGGGACTAGGAGGATTGTTTTGGAGGGTGGCGGGTGGGGTCATTTTGGGCCAAGACCTTTAGATGCCCTGGAGAGAAACCGAGGTCCTCTGAGAACAGTCTACAAGGCAAAGAGGGCATCTTCCGTCCGTTCAGTCTTCTTATGGGAGCCACTCGGGGCACGGGCGGGGTGGGAGAGGTTAGCAGGGTTAGATCCTGGGGGAGATGGCAGAGTGTCTGCAGCCTTAGCTCGCTCCTCCAGGAACTTATCAAATTCTGAAAGAAACAAATTGATTTGTCAGAAACATGGAAGCTAAGGGTCACAGTGTTAAGACTCTCAATCATTCCCACACACATTTGAGCTAACAGAACACACCCATAGGTGTGAATCAACTGACTATACCTTCACTAGTTACCCCTTCTTCAGCAGCATCACCTTTCTATTAAGAAGAAGAAGAAAAAACATGACATAAGACACAAATTTCTATAGAAAACTATCAAGAACGGAGTTAATTAATGTGAGTGTAAAATCGACAGCACAAGCGGCACAAGTCAGCTGCCTGTAAAGTTCCCACAAACTCCAAACCGAGTGGCTCATGAAGGATCAGTCTGTCATGCATCCTCCCCACATTTTCCATAATGAGAAACCTTCTAGAGCACCACCACAACCACCACATGCACAAGTTAAAGAAGACCATTGCAGCTGCTTTAGGTTAATTATCATTAGCACTGTTTCCACATATGTCTCACCTCATGGCAAACAGTTATGTAAGTGATTGCTGGAAATGATTAAGGTGAATGATTACGGTAAAGATTTTAAGGAAAAAGAAAACCAAGGTCAAATGTATGCAGTTATAAGAAATGGTTGGATGAAAAGTGCTTTAAGGGTGGAAAAGAGGGAGAAAGAGAGGGTAGAAAAACAAAAATGTTAATCAAGGTTAAAAAAAAAAAAAGAAAAATTAAAATCTCACCACGTCAGTACAGAGCCACTCCTCTATGTCATCCATGACAGAGGACTGCGATACTGGGATCTATGGAGCAAAGCCATGGACAACAACGAGGGGTAGCAACAAAGCCACACGACAACAAAAACAACGTAACACACGCACACACACAAAAACAAGAATCACCAGAGGCTCAGGAGAAAAGATAAAAAGAAAAACAATAATAATAATAATAAAAAAAATGCTTGAAAGACACTCAACCTCTCTTGATTCTGTGCCATTATTGTTTTATCATGTGCAACGACCTGCTGCCGAGCACTCCTCTGTATAAGAAGAGGACTTGCCGGCCTGTGTATTGTTCTCATTAACTCTGTACTGCTGACATGGCTTAACAGCTGCCGACTAATGTCACACACAGCCGTGCTAATTATTCCGCATCATTAGTTAATTAGCAAATCACTTGAACGTGATTAAGAGATTGATTGGTTGGAAAAGGCTGAAAGCACAGGGACTGTCGAGAGGCACGGGAACCCTGCACACCCACCCACCCACACACACACACTCAAAAACACAGGGCGCACAGAGCATGAGCATCGCTGCATGGCATGTAGTGACACTGGTGATGGAAGCCATGTCAGACTGGATGGTGTCCATTTGTGTTCAAGATTGTGTGAGCACCAAATAATCAGAGTGATTAAGGAGTTTGAGGCATTACAGGAGGAGGCGAAAGTGAACTTTAACCGTGACTCAAGAAACCTCCTCTGAGGAGTAACTGGTAAATTTTTTAAAAGTTATTTGAACCCTTTAAAAATTAAAGTCTGCAACATTAATTTCATCTATTTTGACAAAGTTAAAGACCATCGCCCAGTCTCAAAGTTAACTAGAGAGAACAAAACCCATTTCCTAAGGCCTTTACAGACACTAGAAAAACACTGGTGGGGTTTCCTTGTGAGATCACAGGTTATGCATATCAAAAGATTGGCCAAGGCAGAGTGGCAGTGAAAAAATGCATGCAGCTGTGTGAACAAGGGGAGGAAAAAATAGAAAAAGAGCACAAAAAGAAGTCTGTCCTCATTATGACTCACAACAATAACACTGATATAACTTCAAAGTGTATAACATTGAGCTGAACATTTATAAAATCAACATATCATCATCTTCTACATCTACTGCTTCATCTGTTAGTTGGTTTATGTGTTAGAATGTGAGGTAATAGTGAACTGTATAATATCTAAGATCCACAGACCATTAGAGGACAACTGACAAAATACTCACCACTACACAGCAAACCACAATCACTTTTAATAATTCTCTTATGCTTGGCTGATATTTCATGAGTACTTGGATTCGCTGATTGGATTTTGCTGTGTAGCAGGAGCATCTCTACTCCTCCGCTTTTTTAGTGAGTGACCGTTAAATGATGATGGAGCTTGGTCAAAGTTCCTAGCGACCCATCAGCCTCATTTTAACATCCATGGAGGGGTTAATGTGAGCACCAGTAATGAGTATAGTCTTTAACGCTTGGATCAACAGAGTACAATAGAGGTGGGCAGTATGGATAAAAGAAATTCTGTATTAATATGCCAACCAATTTGGGAGCTACAGTCAGGGTAAAAAGAAAGTACCCCTTTGTCAATTTTACGGTTTTACATACAAAGTTATAATAAAAAACAAACAAAAAAAACCATCTGATTCTTAGCATCTTCTAAAATGATTAAATTTGATTTAAATTTAAATTTAACAACCGCCAGTGCTACTCCTCCCTCAGCCTCCTGGTGGAGATGCTATCAATTTCAAAATCCTACATTGCCTTCAGAAAGCTTACTCTGACTTTGAGGTCAAAGTCGCTGAAAATCAGTTTGAAAATTCTACGTCACCTTGTTCTTGAGTTACCGAATTCACAAACTTGGGTGCCCACGCCATTCTTTTTCAGTCATTTTTTGTAGATCTGCTGCTGTGTTTAGGATCATTGTGCAGTTGCATGACACAATTTGGGCCAAGCTTTTAGTTGTTGTCCTCATATTTGACTCTAGAAAAGTGACTGCAAGGTGTTTATATCCCGTGGCTGCAAAACAAGCCCAAATCCTCACCACTCCACCACTGTGCTTGACACTTTATTTGAGGCGTTTTTGTTGATATGCTGTTCGGCACTTTGAATTATAGCCAAATATCTCCACCTTGGTGTCATCAGTCCAAAGGACACTGTTGCAGAAGTCCTGTGGTTTATTCAAATGCAGTTTTACAAACACGCTGCTGCTTGTTCTTTTTAGAAAGAAGATACTTTATACTATAAACCACACTTGTTCAGTCTTTTTCTAATGGATTTAACATGCTAACTGAGGCCTGTAGCTCGTGAGTTTTTTGCAATTTCCCTGAGCATTGCACAGTCTGACCAAGAGGTGAATTTCCTGGAAAGTGACACAGTGTAATATGCCATGTTTTGTACTTGAGGCTGTATTTACCTCATTTTAAGACTTGCTAGTTGTTTTTTTATGGCCTGTTATGTAAAAACTTCCAGCTGAAAGAGGGTGTGTTTTCTTTTTATCATGACTGTAAGTGTAACTCAGAAGAAGCAGATTCCAAAATAAGCCCTAGTTTAAATATCTGTAATGACATATTGCCCAAGACTACAGTACAATATCTAAACTAGGCATGGACATGGATGTTCTTAGAAGGAAAAGCCACTTGGAAGTAGGACTGTTGGGAAGATTTGGGAAAAAGGTGAGATGAGGCTGAAAATGAAGCGCAGCTCATGAGGATGATGGACAATGCTGGAGGAGGCTGACATGAGGTGGACATGAGGGAGGGGTAGGAGGACACACTGTGGATAGAGTCCTCACCATTCCTTGGGTAATAAGCCAGCTGTCTATGGGCAGCTCCTGATCTGCTGGGTTATCATCCCCTTTAACCCTCAGCTGAATCAACAACAGAATAACACCTTACACAAAAGAAGAAAGGCCCCACCACCACAGCATAGCACAAAGTGCAGAGAGAGAAAGACAGAGAAGAAGTCAAATGTGCAAAAGACGACTGAGAGAGGAGGGAATAAATGAGGCCAACATAAGAAAATGGCAAAGGATCACTGCATAAAGATGAAAATGAGGAAAATAAAGAAGGAAAAAAGAAGAGATTTAAAACTCAGTGAAGTATACGTTCTAAACAAGGAATAAATCACCTAAGGCAACTAAAGAATGGTGCCACCTTTTTGTGTATGTGTACCTAGAGATAGCCAAGCAAATATACTGCAATGTGTGCTCAGAGAGAATGACTAAAAATCTTGAAGCTAGTCAGTGATTTAGAGTTTCTGTGAGCACGGACTTTAGAGATGAGCAGATTAAAGGAAGAAGAAAGACATCTGCTTTGAAGAACGAGAAACCTAAATGCATGTTTTTTTAAAAACCCCGTGAGAAGTGCTGACACTAATGGCTAAAAAGTACCAGTGGTTCAGATACAGTATAAAAACTCCCAGTTAGACTTTGCTCCCATCTTCTGTACATAAAACTCATTTATATGCTTATGACTGGCATAGACACTAAAGACAACAGCACTATATTTGAGGTATTCAAAAATGAGAAAACCTCAAGCCTCTGTTTGGTCAAAGTTCAAGAAGCACTTCATCAGGACAAATGTCACTGTAAAGTATTCAGTGTTACAAGCCATCACATGCAGAGAGCTAAAAAAGCTCGTCAGCCATGCTTATTTGTACTCACCCCTCCTGTATTCTGTTGTCTAACACCCAAAGCAGAGGCCAGGCCACCCAGAGCCTGAGGGTCTTCATATTTTACACTGTGTACAAAACCAGAAACAGATTAAGAAGAATTAAGCTGTATATAAAAAGAATTAGGAGCAAAGATGATGTCTGACAGCTTTTTTTAATATCATCTCTGTCCAAAGAGAAGACAAGCAAGACATTTCTTCTTAAGAAAGAGAAGAATAAAGTGCAACAAAAGTCTTCAGTTCTGTCCAAACTAGGGATTTTGTTGATTCATGGCATAGACCCTTGAGCCAAAACACACCCCAGTGGACCCCTTTGTTCACAACTTGCATAAACAAAAAACACAGTAACATTCAGGTAGTGGAAAAAAAATGGGCAAACATACTTATTTATTCACAGTGAGTAGCCAAAAGTAACACAATAAACTAGCCGCAGGGAGAAAATACCAGATTAACATCCAGCCTGTCCCGATAGGAATTCAAAAGGCACTCCAGGAAATATAACCGGATATCAAGCATTTCAGAAATGTAGTGAGCACATTACAAATAGCTATTTGTCAAAATTAATTACATTAAGGGAGCTAAATTTAATGTAGACCTACTTTTTGCGCTGTTCAGCCAGAGAGCTCCCCCTGGTCTGTGCGAACATGTCAAAGTCGTCCGGGTTCTGGGCCGATTGAGACGACGGGGTGCCGCTCGGGCTTTCTGAGCCTACATCTGGATCAAGAGGGTGGCAGGAGACAGCAGAACATGGAGAAGAGCAAGGATTAAAGTAAAATGAAAGAGGATGAAAGAAGTGGCACAGAGAAATGAATTTAAAATTAATGCAGCAAAGTTTAAGACGTCCTAATTATAGACCAGACTTACAACACTCCAGTTTGGCAATGTGTGTAATTACCATATATTACTGCACAAAATATAAGAGGTAATCCCTCTAAGGTTGAACCACAACACTTCAGTGAATCTTACTGCAATTAGTTAAAAACAATTAGCTACAAATTTAACTTTTGTCATGTAAGAACCAGCAAAGGTCTGCAGGGATTCGAGAGGACAGGAAGCTCCAACAATTTCTAAAAACATGCTTTTACTTTGTCTGTATGGATCTCGAATGGATTATTAGGAAATTTTTAATTTTACAACAATAAAAAGGTGCTTCTTGTGCACCTTTTTTATCCTAAAAAATAGATTTCATTATGTTTTATCCTTACCAAGTCCAGCTAGAGCACTGGATAGGGATGCTGCAGTGGGGTTGCGGGCAGGAGAAGCCATGGCTCCAACAGTGGAGCTAGGTGGAGGGCTGGATGTGATCCTGGGTGTTACCACAGCTGGGGATCCTGGGCCCAGGTCTATCAGGTTGTCCTCTGTGGCTTCAGTTAACATCTGAAAAGAGGAGAGCAAGTGAAATATACTCGTTAACTACAAATATAAAACAATGCAACTATGCAGCATTTGTAACACCAAGTAAAAGATTAAATTATTGCTTTTTCTCCTTTTTTTTTAAATGAGAAGAAATGCTTCTAGCTGCAGAAATGCTACACAATTTCAGACAACACTCTAAACCAGCAGTCATGGATTGGCAGCTATGCAAAGGAGCAATAATGGAGCCGAATAAACAGCTGCAAGAGATTACAGATGTGTGAGAAGGAACACCATGAAAGGTGGAGGGAAGGGAATAAAAAATCTAGCTTAAAACAGTAGAACCAGTGTTCACACATCACAAGGCTCTAAACACGAGATTCATATAACAGACGTTTTGACAGTCATCACTCAGTTCATCCCAGCACACTGGCTTGGACTGAATGTGGTCGTGGTGTTATACTTGCCTCCATCAGCTAGCCACAACACAAACAGACAGAGCACACGGAAAGATCAACAAGCTGCAAACACAAACAGCTATGTGGGATGTAGTGAGAGATGGCCCAGTCCATTGGCAAATGTCTCAAACTGGCAAATGTGCACTTTTTAATGGAAGTTTGGCAGCGCTCAGCTCGTTCAGTTTTACAAAGCACTAAAATGCATTCCACTTGCATTACAAATGAATGCTGCTATGGTAAACAGTTGAGGGGGATTATTAGTTCAGATAATGTTTGAATCATCTCTCACAGCATCCATAATGTTAGGCAAAGGTATATGTAGTGAAATGTGAAAAAAGAATAGAATAATGATACGTGCAAAAAGAAAACATGCAATTTCAGCCAGTAGGCCTCTGTTCTTTGTTTCTACTCTTTGTTGATGGTACTCACCCCATTGTTCTGTGCAGCTCTACCTGACCTGTACCTCTCATACCTGTGAGCAACATGAAAAAAAAAACAAAAACAAAACAATTAACACTTTGCCACATGCTCTCTGAGCTTAAACGCTCTTTTAACACAAACACGATGAAAAAAAAGTTTTAGCATTAAGAGCCCACAGAGCACATAAACAATGCACAGTGCTTTGCCGTGCAATATTTGGACAATCGCAAATCTCGATTCATAATGATTCAGTTATCTTAACTGATCTAACCCACTTATGTAACCTTATGAAGTACAGTGAGTCCGTTTGACCTGTTATATCACGATCTGTGTCATGCAGGTTTTTCTTTTTCAAGAAAACCTGATAAGATTAGGTCTAATGATATCTAGAGAGTCATCTTTTAAATTGTGCTCGAGATCTTGCCAAACCAGAAAAGCAAAAACTAACAAGCACTAGTGATCGAGGTAGTAACCAAAATACACAAACAAGTATTTCTTTTTGTGACACGAATGCAGTTTGATTGAATTCACCTCTCGTATCGGAGGAAAATGTTGTTGAGGTCATCATTTGCGTGTAGGAGCTCCTCGGTCACTTCCTCATTAGAGACGCGCGAAATCAGCTCGACCACTCTCTGCTGCATAGCTCGGCATGTTCTGTTCAGCTCCTTGACAGAGTGTCACATGAACAGATTGATCAATATATTAAGTTATAAATCAATTTGAGAAAAAGTGAGCTGTAAAGAAACGGACAAGCTGACACATACTCAGACAGTCAAGCGTGTGTTTGTCTGTCTACTGATGACTCAAAAAACCCTCTATAAACCACTCCATTTGCCAGTACATAAACTGTTATGCTGCTTATTTATGACTCACGAATGGGTGGAGAGCTTTCTATAAATATAATACAAAAGGCTTTTAGTTTTAAGCAAGTCAAAAATATTTGTTAAACTAAATTCTGTTACAGTTTTCTCTACATTACCTGAAATAAATAGCAAAGTGAGTCAGGTACTACATAACAATTACACTGGCACAGGCTCTTTAGCCCGGGGCCAGATACTTGGAGCTGATACAAATACCTGAGGGGTTTCTGGCCTTCAAAGATTAAAATCTGCATGAGCTTGCATGAGAAAATGTTGCGATTTGACCTGCTTAATTGCCAGTTTAAGGAATTTTACCACAGAAAAATGGCCCTTGGCAGGTTAGCATGAAACTTAGCCCATAACACCCCCTGGTGGCTGCACAAAATTACAACACTTGACAGTTAAAAGCAGTGTTGGAAAGAATTTGGCTTTCTGAATGCACATCATGCATGGGGGTGTATATAAAGAAAAGAATTCACAGGAGCCTAAAATAAATCTTCTGATAAGAAAGAATGTGACAGAAAAATCTGTGATCTTTAAAGACTTGTGCTTCAGAATGACAAATGTCTTCTGATATGCATTAAGAATTGAATTAAATTTATGCCAAGTTGGGTTTTATTTTGTTTGGATTTTTATTCTTTTTAACTACAATGAAGTTGTACACAACACAGGCAACTACTGAATGCATTATAGTGAAATTCATAGTGTATTAATCTAACCTGAAGCAGTTCTAGATCAGAAGCCTCTTCCTGACCTGGGACCATCTCAGTTAGCATCTCCGACATGACTTTGACGTTTCCTCGCACTACGTCCAGCTCGCTACGCAGCCGGGCAATCTGAAAGCACACAAGATCAAAGGTCAATGAAAAACATTTGGACTAATTTGGTATCAGCGGCACAGCAGCGTAAGCTGAAACTGTACTTAAGTTTTAAACTCACTAAACACTGAAAAAAAGCTTTTTTTATTCAAAAATTATTTTAAAAAAAATGCTGTGTGAATTAATTTAGCTGAACAAAGGTTGGGGTCCCTCACCTGTTCAGGAGTTGCTGTGATGGGGTTGGGAATTTCAGGGGCCTGTGTGGCAGGGGGAACGGGTGAGGCAGGTTTAGGAGTCGTGGGATCAGGTGAGGTTGGGGCAAGGTACTTGACCATGGCTGGATCTACTTCTGGTGTCCCCTATGATAAAAATAAATACATAAATAAATAAAACAAAAACCCCAAAAAGCAAAACTCTAGGCCAGTTTATTAGGTGCACCTGTTCAATGGCTTATTAACACAAATAACAGATCGGTCAGGGGCAGGAACTCAACTCAGACATTAAATCCAAGAAGGGATGGTCGACCTGCTAAAGTTCAAACCGAGCATCAGAATGGGGAAGAAAAGTGATTTAATTGACCTTGAATTTGACACTTGTTGTTGGTACCGGACAAGATGGTCTGAGTATTTCAGAAAAAGCTTATCTACTAAGTCCGGCATTTAGAGAGAATGGTCTGAAAGAGAAAATATCCAGCAAGCGTCAGTTCTCTGGATAAAAATAGACGCCTCGCAGATGTTAAGGGTCAGAGGACAAGGACCACACTGCTTTGATCTGACAGAAAGGCAACACTAACTCAGATAACCATAAGCATCTCTGAACACAGACTACATTTAAACATGAAATTGATGGTCTAAAATAACAGAAGAGCAGTGATGCTACAGTTTGAATGGGCTCACCAAAATTAGACAACATAAGATTGGAAAAATGTTGCCCCTTCTGTTGGAACATTCAGATGGTAGGGTCAGCATTTGGGATAAACAACATGAAACAGGAGATTCCCATCATGGATGTGCAGCTGACAAATTTGCAGCAACTGTGTGATGCTGTGATGTCCACATGAACAAAGGAACGTTTCCAGCACCTCGTTGAATTTATGCTATGAAGAATTAAAGCAGCTCTGAAGGCAAACATTGATACAACCCAGCACTAAAAAAAAGTGTACCCAAAAAAGTGAATGAATGTATTTCTTCCCTACCCTCTGTGGTGTGTGAATCGGAGACAGTGCATCCAGGTCTGCCATTGGGAACTCAACACCTTTCCTTTTCAGTTCCTCATAAATATGCACCACCCCAGTTAGATCAGGACTACTCCTGAAGGCATCTGCCCAGGCCTGTCAAAACACAGACAAATTATTTAGTATGCTCTCAATTCTTGGTATTAATAAAACCAACTAAAATTAAAAAAAAACAACAACAACTGAATGAAAGCACGTAACATTACTAGTATGGACATTATTTTGCTCCAATGCTTAGGGAATTTTTACAAGAAGGCTATCCACAGGATCTCCTTCAAAACGTTCCTATTAATATTTAAGGGAGCGCAAAAAGAGAAATGGAGAACACCATCTGTTGGCTGAGGTGACCTCAGGTAACCAGATAAAATCACAAAAGGCTGAAGCTGTTGTGCAACACATGTGAAGTGGCGCATGTTGTGCCCACCTGATTTAAAATTCTGCAATGGAGTGTGTTGGTAAAAGCAAAAAGAAAAAGAAAATATGTAGCAAAAGAATTTTATCATTTAAAAACAGCAAATACAGAGAGCGCTCCAATACCTGTATAAGAGACAGCACTTTGTCTTGTACGATCGTTGGGGGGTTGGCTTTGGGGGAGATGATCTTTACCAAAACACCATCAATAAAATCTCTGTTGGCCACCTGGACATGAAACCTGTGACCACAGTTCTTCACACATGTCTCCAATACCTACAGGAAGAGAGAGGATTAAACAAAGATGCTTAAAAAAAAGTTTGTGTGTGGGGGGGGGGAGCAGCAGAGAAAAGGCAGACTTAGTCAGTATTTTGCTGCACACAGGGCCTTCCAACTAGCAGAGCTATCAAAGATGTGGGAGGACATAAAGACAGCTCAAAGGGCATAGCCACTGTAAACAAATGGAAAGAAGAGGCAGAAAAACACAGGCCATGCAGTGGAAGGCAGAGGATGACAGAGCAAAATAAAATGACCAGGAGCACAAGATCAGTAGTGTTTTCCCTTTAATGTGACATTAAAAACCTACACACTGAAAAGCATCAACACCATGGGCATGGCCCAGTGAGTCATTTTTGTCTACCAGTGCCTTGCTCATATATTCAGCGACTTTATTCCTAGTTTTGCAATATAGTTCCAAGAAGAAGTATGAACTTACGGTTAGTGCGAGCATAACTTCTCTGTAGTTCTTGTTGCCGCTCAGTCTCTTCTTCAGTGCCCGCATGGCATCTTTTGGCCTAGACAGGAACAGCAGAAAGTTACAGCTGCACAAAGTACCCTCTGCTTATAGTGAGCGGAACGTCACCGACTTTGATGGAATAAACTCTCCTGTGTGCCACAATAACAGATGCGATTCAAGTCCGTCAGCATATCTATTTGACTAAAACAGAGAAGTACTGTCACACCATCTGTCTCACTCTTTTCTCTGTGTGTGACTATACTGTAAGTCAGTCCCACAGCAAGATCAAAAGCTGCCCATGCATGAAGAGTTCAGATTGGCTGTCGGCCTAACATTGTCCATCTTCATTGCAGATGAGACGGTACGCTTTTATGGACTACCTACTGAGCTACAGTACATTTACAGAGTGAAGGAGCTGAAACAGAGAGAAATGGAGGGAAGCATATTGTCTTATATATATATGGTCCCAGACAGCCCTCTGCACATGACTGAGTTTATTGAATATAATCTACCCTGCATTTCTGATTCTCTCCACAGTTCCCTGTTGTTTCCTGTACATGTATTTTCGCTATATCTTGATTTAGTCCTTACCATCTGCTGTCAAACTTTCATAATTAAATGCACACATTAGCATGTGTTAAAACGTCGCACAAATGTTTGTGCTGCATTTCAAAGTCTGGAATTAAGGAGACTCGATCTATCTAGCTGAACATCTTGAAGACAATAAGTTCTGTGAAGCTGAACTCCCTCTCTCATGCCTTCTGTTTTGCAAGCGTGACCCAGAGAGCGCCTGTGTCGCATGTCAAGACAATGAGTGTGTGTAGGCATGAAGAATGTAAAAAATAAAGTAAAAGGGGAAGCAAAAAATACATTTTGCTATTTAACAGAAAATGGAAGTGTCTGATTATCATGCATCATGTCTGTAACAGGTTAAGACTTTTTCCTGAGATAAGACGTGATCAAACTGTTCTGTTAAAAAAAAAGTACAAAAAAGGTTTTCTATTTATATTAGACCAATAAACCCTTCAAAATGGTCTTTTCAACTGTTTCATAAAAGTACTGTCATCACCATTTTCTATGCCCTCCTTGAATTGTTTTTTTTAACCACTAAATGGGGAAGAAAGGTGATTTACGTGACACTGAACGTGGCAATGTTGTTGGTGACAGACAGGCTGATCTGAGTATTACTACTGCGATTTTCCCACATAGCCATCTTTAGTGAATACAGAGAAAATATCCAATGAGTTTCAGTCTTCTGGGTGAAAATGCCTCGTTACAACTAAGGTATGTAAAACAGCATGTCTGAACACACGTGTCGAACCTCAAAGCAGATCAGCTTCTGCAGCAGAAGAGTACACCAGGTGCCACTCCTGTTGGCTAAGAACGGGCTCAGCAAAATTGGGACAACAAAGGACTGGAAAAAACACCGCCTGGTCTGATGAGCCTCAATTTCTGCTATGACATTCAGATGGTAGGGTCAGAATTTGGCATAAACAACATGAAAGAATGGATCCATCCTCCCATGCATCAACCGTAATGTGTGTAATGGTGTGGGGGATATGTTTTCTTAGTGCCTTCCTTAGTACCATTTGAACTTCATTTAAATGCTACCCGACAATTGTACGCTACCGAGTTAACCATGTGTCCCTTTATGAACACAGCAAATAAAAGTGTAAAGCAGAAGTAGTAAACCTCAAATTATAACAAACCAGTTTCTTGAAAAGGAAAATGAGTTCTCTTTAGCTGAATGAGAGACAACCATGAGGGGAAGCTTGTCAAAAAAATGTAAATGCGGTTAGTAAGTATGGTTTCAGCTTTTTTGAGGAATCCTGGAACTTTCTGATCACACCTTGTACACTAACTACGAGCCAGTGTTTTATGGTAATTAATTCTGATATTATGGGCTTTTCTGCATGGCAGTTATAATCACTATATTATGCAAAGTAGAACCCAATTAATAACAATATTATTAGTGCATTCTGATTAAAACAGTCATTTAGATTTACTTATTTGTGGCCAAAGGTCTAACTCAGGGGTCAGCAAAGTTTTTAACTTCTTTTTAAAAGAATCCACAGAGCAACTAAAGAGTGTTGCTTATGAAATCCATGAAGTGCTACAGAGAAAATTTTATTTTATTTATGTAATTAACACATTTTGAACTCTTAAAAAAATATTTTAAAAAAAGGAAAGACACCCAGCTCAACTAAAATCACACATGTAGCAACAAAAACTGTTGTGAGCCGCCACCCTTATATCGCCTTTGGGCTTTTGGAGCGTTGACCCGACTTTTAAAAAATAATTGGAAAAAAAGCACTATGCTGCAAAAAAATGAAAAATAGATATTTGCAAAATTCTGCCTAAATATGTATTTTACCTGGTTAATGTGTGTGGCGGGGCGTGGTCTGCAGCGCCGCTGCATGGGAGTCGGACGCACCTGAGCGGCACCCGCAATCACGCCTCGCCGCCTTAAAGTCTGTGCTCTCTCTGCTGTTGTGTTGTCGGGCTGTGAGCTGAACAGCTACAGCCGGCTGTATGTACAGCAACCGTGTGTGAAAAGTAGTCAATAAAGAGATGCTGAAAAGCAGCGGGTCTGCCGTGGTATGTTTTCAATGGAACTTCTGCTCCTGAACCTCTGCGCACAGCGTCTGCAAATCGGGGCTGTACGAGGTCACTTTCATCTTTACGCAGGACTGTAAGCTGTCATCTGTGAGGCGTGAGCAGTGTTTGTTTTTAAACATAGTTCATGGTGGAGAACAGCTGCCGACATAATGTGGATCCGAAGATCAATAATTGGCCTACCTGGGTTTGAAAGTCTCGATAAATGCACGGCGTTTCGGCGGGTACACCGGCTTCCGCGAGTGTGACGCTTATTTTGAGCGATGAAAAATAATAAAATTATTTTATTTTATATTTCAATATCACAATAATCTTCCAATTTAGAACTACAAGTTAAAAAAATAACTAAACACAAATAAAATACACTTCACCTAAATATTTCTAATTTATTTTCCCAAACCACTCGGAGCCGCAGTATAAGGACTAAAGAGCCGCAGGTTGCCGACCTCTGCTCTAACTGAATTTCTCCATGCCCAGATAAAGCTTTCCATGTTAGTAATAATAAACAAAGATTTGTATAAGCTCAATAAAATAAATGCCAATCGTCTGGTTTTATGGCTGCAAATCTATATAATTTGGGAGACATGTTCACCAAGTGCAGGCTTGGTATTTTTCAGTGTGGGAGGCTGACATGAGAATCTATTCATTCATTCACTCATTCATTTATTCAGACAATAAGACAGTTGGTCAGTCATACCTAAAGAAACAAAAGGCCATGTGTAGTAGAGTGTCTGTCAGCAAAGAACAGTGGGCAGTGTATTATTTGCTCGAGCCTCTCAGTTAGCCACTGTGTGATAAAACAATGAATGTTTCATTACAAACCACAGCAGGAACTTGAGTCATTTTGGGTTAAATACCCTTGCTAATCCCACTTGATAAAGCAAATTATAACCTAATAATAATAATAATGAAGGAGCTTACCCTTCATCGGTTTCATTTATGATATCGCAGATCTCCATGTTGAGGGTCCAGTCCTCATTCTGTAGGCCTCCATCTGTTGCTCTCTCTGGAGGAAAACACAAAGAGTTCAACTGTTATGTTAATAAGCTAACTGCAGTGTACGGTCTATGCAAAAGGCAAGGTTTGAGTGACACAAATTATGATTGTTAGGATGTCAGTTAAAATCAGTTACCACTTATAACAAGAGACACATCAGTATATACAATAAGTTCAGACTCAGTTGTGCAACGACACAAAATGTGACTATTGCAGAATAATAAGTTGTGGACATTAACCAGCGCTGGGGCTGCACCCAACGAAATGTTACTTTTGATAGAAAAATTCATGGTTTGCACAATGCCAGCTGTCTCATGTGTTACCATGGTGCTGCATTTTAGCCAGGCTCAGTTGTTCTCAAGCTAAAGCACACTGATTAAAGCAACCCTCATTTACATAATATCACAAGCACACTTGTGTAAATAAGCCAGCATGTGGTCGCAGACTTGTCCATCCATCAATCTTCGATTGCTTATCTGGATCTGTCACAAGGCAGCAGTCTAGACATTCCTCCCCCAGGGAAACCTCCTCCAGTTCGTCTGAGGGTTTCCAAGCCAGCCGAGAGATATAATCTCTCCAACATGTCCTGGTTCTGCATTGGAGCCTCCTCTCATGCTTGAAAGACCTCACCCTCCACAAGGCATCCCAGTCAGATTGCCAAAGCACCTCAACTGGTTTCTTGCAATGAGGGGAAGTAGGCCATATCCTGAGCCCCTCCCGAATGACCATGCTGCTTAACCTAACCCCAGCCACCTCGCTTGTTTGCATTCAATTCAATTTCATTCATGTAGTGCTAAATTAGGGCTGTGCGATATGACCAAAATCTCATATCCCGATATAAGAATTCTATCGTCCCAATAACGATATAAATCACAAAAATGTAACATTTTCTGTAAATTCTGTGAATCTCGGGCAGCTCGACTTGCGGGAAGTGTTTCCAGCTGCGCGTCATGTACCTGGAGTCCAGTGTTTTAACTGATGCATGAAACGATACATTTTTAGACATAAGTTGTAACAGCCGCCGTTTTCTTTGTATTTATTACACAGCGTGCTGCGGGGAAAAGCCTGTTCTAACGTTTGAGTCTAAGGTCTATTTTTTTAGCACCTGGCGGCTCTTTTTTACTTCTCATCCGTAAATAATCTGCTCTTTCACGTGATTCAGTTTATTTTGAAAAGTCTCAACAGGATCTTGAGCTTTATTGTGAAAGGTTTATGTGGAACATAAACAAGCGGACACGCGATGGTGTTACCGTCGTTGTTGCTAACGACAACGCATAAAAACAGGCGCTTGTCCATCAGTAGTGTGGTTATATTCAATATAAGAGAAATAGAGAACTTTAAGAAATTAATAGAGCCACTACAGTGACCATCAAAACGATGAAAAAATATTGCCGTAAACAGTTTATTTTGCAACACCACAAAACAAACATAGGGTAAAATGAAACATAGACGTTTTTATATCGTCATATATATCGTTATATCGAACAGCCCTATGCTAAATCATTACTACAGTCACCTCAAGGCTGCAATCTCATTCTTTCATTCACTACCCGGAGCTCATGGCTCATATCAGTAGAAATATAGATTACTGAAATAATAAATAGACCAATGGAAAATGTGACAAGATTTAACTCAGTACTACTTTTAACTGTTTGTTTTTGCAATTATAAATACAGATGAAAAAGCTATTAAGTTCCCTTTTTGAGATGTGAGCACTGTGTGCAAGCAAGCGCCATAAATATAGCCAAACGTAAGAGTAATCTTTGTAAGAAGAGGTTTGGATGAAGTCTTGGATCCGTAATCACCAGACTACCATTCTATTTCATTTCCACAACGCTGCAGTTTCCAGCTGTCACGGTAAACCCAAACATGCAATAAAATTTTGCCAAAAACATGCTCCTCCAAAGCCTCCAACGCCAGTAAATTAACTGAAAAGAGCCAAGAAGTCAGTTGGGAAGTGGAAAGCCGAGATCTCAGAGGGAAAGCCACACTGACTGACAGTGAGTGATCCAGCTGTGTACTCAGTTTTAACTATTACAACATGCAGAAAAACAGAAGTTCCAATGACCGGCTCTCGCCTTCACACTCCACCCTTTCATTTAATAGCATTTTGGCTACAAGGAGGAAATAAGGAAGCCAGACTGTGAAAGCTGACAAAGATGAACTGGCTCTGCATTCATCACTGTTCCCGCTCCATCTCCTTCTTCCTCAGCGGCCCTCCAAATCCATCCATCCTGTCTGTGGAAGCTGCCGTTTTATAGAAACACAGAGACTCAGAGCAAAATTTTTAAAAAAGAAAAAAGATTTTCTACTGAAGCAAAATACGATACAGGTTCTGACTGCATAGATCGTCATTAGATGAGTCCTGAGTGTAGACAAGAGATGTTCCTCTGCGGGAAGCTCAGAGGCCCTTAGCAGGATGTCATGCCAGAGCCAGGGGTCTCACGGGGCCATGCAACCACTGGACATGCCTCATCAAAACTATGAATTATTCATGCTTTAACTCCCCTCTCAAATCAACTTTTCACAGGCTGGGCAGCTTCAACAAACCCACTTATCTACAAAAATAAAAAGGCATGCAGTGAATTCAAACATGAATAACACTTAAAAACACCTCTGAGTCCACCTTCTGAGTCTACAGCATCCAGAGCATGAGTTTGAAAGATTTAACCAGCTACTTCTTCTGGGATAACCCATGTAATCTCCTCAAGTGGATTGTCATGTTGTGGCAGGGCAAAGCACGGGCAGCAGAGGACAGAAGGAAGGGACGCCCCCCTAAAACTCCGATCTATTCGTGTGACACACACTGTAAGGACACTGAACATGAGCCTACTAATGGAGTTAAATGCCTGCTAAGTGCATTAATTCACGGTGTTGTGTCAAAGCACCCACCCCAGCCCTGAGAACTGACACCACACAAGTGAAACCAGTCGATCACATGGCTTTAACAGAGGCAAGCTGTGCCATGCACTTGGCAACAAAGCCACAAAGTCCTTCTCTGGCTACAAAGTGAACTTTTAAGACTCTTCTTTAATTCCTGCCTTTCGTTGTCTCCACTCTCACATATATCCTATTTGTCCCATGCGTTTGTCTTGATATTATTCGATTCATTTCCTCTCATACATGTGCCATGGTCATAGTAAGAGCTGCCAAAGGTTGGTTGTCTTTATTAAATATGGACACAAATTGTGGTAATGCATCGGGCTCTTACAGCAATTAGATTTACCACACATCTCCACTGTCAGGCTTGAACTCTCACATTCCCTTTGTGTCTGGTAAGATGATACTTTGCCCCTCCACTGAGGTGTACAGATCACTACCGCTGCAGATGACAGCTGGGTGTCAAGCCACAAACAGTGCAGCAGCTCAACCGGAGAGATCTGGCAGGAGACAAGGCCAATTCTGTGATGGAAGGGGGGATGGTGGTCCAAGACATGCTGCATGCAAAAACAAAAATGCATCTGGTTCTGCCCAGTCGAGAGCTTGATTAAAGCACTACATGGCTCTGCAGAAAGTAAAAACATGAGTAATTCTGACACTTAACCAAAAAAACAGCAGCTGTTGCACTTGGTCAAAGGCAAGCACAAACAAACAGTGGGAGAAATTAAAAGTCTCGCACACATCTGTTTTGCAGGAGTAGTTTGCCAAAGCATTAACTCTTTTTCACAAAAACGGCGAAAAAAAGTAAAGTTCAATGTACCTACGGCACCTACAGTACACTCCTACTTTCACATTCTTCAAGTAAACATAAATTCTTATCTTTATACTTCATAAAACAGCTGTTGTCAGTAGCCGGCTCATTGTCAGTTATAAAGGCATGGTCAGGCCTTGGTACCAACTATTATGAATCTCAGCTTGCTTTGAAAAACAAAAAGGAAAATGCAAACATTGATGCAACTACACCAAAGGGATGCTGCAGCTCACGTATATGCCCCCCCTGGGGAGAAAAAGCACCACACCGTATCGAGACTGGAGGGAAAAAACCTCCAGGCTGACCGCACAATTTGGTTAACTATTGTTCAGAAACTAAGCAAGTATGGAAGTTATCTGGGTCTCTCTTGAAGACACTTTAAGTCATGTCAATACAATAGCGTCAATTTCAGTTAACCTGATTTGATCTTCTTAAGCTGCAATCAGTGTCTACACATATGCATGGTTATTCAACTTAATGCATTTCTTGTGATTACACCGGACTAAGTTATGGGTTAGCTGGCTAACATTAGCTGAGAGCCCATTCCAGGCAGATGACGTTTGCTACGATGACACCCGTTAGCTCGCTATTTCCACCTTTGGGCCCAGTAGTAAACAATATATGATGGCCCACATTCAAAGTACGTTGGGGGAAGGAAGCAGCAAGCCTTTAAAAAAATAATTTCAGGTCTAACGTACCTATACACTGGCCCACGGGAGTACTGTACGGATTTCCAAGTAAGAACTCCATCTTGACAACAAACGATCCGCCCGGGAATGACAGGCTTCGGCCCAGAGGCAGTACTATCAAGTCCCGCCTACCAAGGAATTCTATTGGTTCAAAAAGTTGGACACGTACAGAGGTTTTTGGACACGTGTGGCTACAATCGATGTCAGTCACAGTCAGTAACTGAAGCTATGTTCAACAAACCTTTTTTACGTGCATGCATTTAATTATTACAGAGGGGAATAATAACTCTAAACAGCTAATAAAAAAAATGCAGACAAGGATTAAATCCTTGAAATATAAAAAATGAACGTTCATTGTTGTTGACTATAAGTAGCTCATATCTTGAAAAAGCTACCTACCCCCCAAAAAAATTCACAAAATGTGTGATCCCAACTAAACACAATTTCGACTTGTGGTGCTTTTATGAATATAAGACATACATGTACATTACAAGATAACCTCAGACTTAAAAGACATAATTTATGGTTAAAGCAAAACTCTTGTCTCAGGTTGATGCCTTTTTCAACGGGATCAAGTACTTGAATGCAGCTTAAAATGAACCTGTTGCTATGTAACTGAGCGTAAACAACAGGGGTAAGTAGCGGCATACTGAATTTATCGATAACACCAGCTTGTTTTCTGTATTTTTAAGCGTTTTACGGTGACAAAAACAGCAGTAGTTAGGTTTGGCTTTGGCTAAATTCATCTATTTATATCTTAGAGAGCCAATGACGGTGTTTGGCAGTATATTCAGAGCAATACCCTCAAATGTGCATACAATGATGTGAAAAAGAATTTACCCCCTTCCTGGTTTCTTAAGTTTTGTTTGTTTTTAATGACATATTTTTCTTTTTTCTTTTTTTTATCAGAGTGTAAAGTGATGCCAAGTCTGTCTCCGGTCACAAAACAGCAGCATGAGCTCGGAATATATTATCTCTGAGCCCACGTCGATGGACAAAGAGATCCTGCAGCATGCTGTGCAGGAACAGTTTAAACCAGATCACATCCTGCGTTTTCCAGATGCGAGCCAAATCCACTTTAATGAAGTCCAGAAATTAAGACTGGAGTACAAAAGTAAGGGGAAATCATGAAGGTGATGAGGAATGTAGCAATGTTTAGCATGCTGATTTTGTTTGAGTGAGAGGATGCTTTTTTATACATTTTCAGACATCCTGAAGATTGATCACTTATGGGACTTCTCATCTTTGTCCAAACTTGAGTTAAATAACAATGCTATAGAAAAGATCCAGGGACTGGACCATCTGGTTAATCTGACGTGGCTTAGTAAGATACAAAGTTTGTTCTTGTTGACCAAATGATGTGTAGGCACTGCCATCTTATATCAGCTCAGAATCTACTGGTAATGATGAGAGTCATTTTGAATGTGTCCCTCAGATCTGTCATTCAACCAGATTGAGAAAATAGAGGGTCTGGAGTGTGTGCAGAAGCTTGAAGTGCTGAATCTATCCAACAACAAAATCTCTGTCATTGAAAATATGGACACACTTGAGAACCTAACTCACTTCTTCATTTCAAACAACCTAATTGGGCAGTTGGATAATGTAAGAAACGTTTCTGCATTTGCCATGCAAGTATGAGGAAACATTCATGTGATACTGTTTAATTAACCTAATGCATTTCAAAGGTGCTCTACCTCAGGAAGTTCAAGAACCTGGCAGCGTTCAACCTGTTTGGAAATCCTTTCCTAAACGAGGGTGATTACAGATTTTTCATTGCTGGCTACTTTCCAAAGTTGATGTTCCTAGACTCCAGAATACTTGACCAGAAGACAGTAAGTGCAAACCCAATCTACATTTTGTTCTGCGCTTACCTTTAAAGTAGCATTTACATACACATTTACAGAGTATGAGTATACCCAAGCCTAGGACATGTATGAGGACAGTGAGACAGTGGTGAGGTGTGCAGAAGGAGTGACAAATTAGTTCAAGATGGGGATAGGATTACACCTAAGCCCCTTTTTGTTTGCAGTGGTGATGGACAGGTTGACTACGATGTTTGCAGATGAAAATGGGATCCGTAGTGAGAGTAGCGAGCGGGTGGAAGAGAGTCTGGAGAAATGGAGGTGTGCTAGAGAGAAGAAGGAAGGTCAGCAGAAGCAAAACAGAGTATGTGTGTGTGAATGAGAGGGAGACAGATGTAACAGTAAAGCTGACTGTACCCAAGCTTGTTTGAAAGTCATCCTCATGTGCATTTATGAATTGCTGGTTGATGCAGAGTAACAAAATTTTATTCCTGTGTATGTACAGAGAAAGGAAGCATCTATCAAATATCACTATGTCCTTGAGAAAATGAGACTTGAAGAGCTGGAGCTACACCAGGCTGATGAGGCTCGACAAAGACACGAAGCTGAGCTAAAATTACACCGAGTACTATCTTTTTTTGTGACTCATCTGTTGATTTGTATACATACAGTCTGACACTTATGTTTTCTTTTTTGTTGTTTTTTGTGCAGGATGCCTTTGTGGAGTTCCTTAATGGTTCTTATCTGTTTAGGACCATGTTTAAAGATGATCCAAAAGCACAAACACTGCACTGTGCACCAGGAGTGGATTCTCTGATTCAAAGATATCTTTTATCATCCTGGTTTCCTGATCCATGCGTGCATTGTTATTATTGTCATAGTACAGGCTAAACCAATCATTCCTTTTGCTTCCTTGACCTTGCACTTACATTTGAGCACCAAATGGGGGAGCTGTGTACACAGTTATTTGAAAGGGGCTTGGCTGAGCACAAACGAAGGGAGACAGAGGTGAAGTCTTTCTTCAGTTGCCAAGAAAAGGCTGTGACAGACTGCCAGGAGAAGGCATCGCAGATGTTAGCAAAGTTTAATCATGAACACAAAGAGGCAAGCAGGGAGCAATCGCCTTTTCCGTGTGCACAGTGATTTACATGAATGCAATGACTCAGCATGAGATGATATTTTGTGTTTTCTCCTTTAAAGCGGACAGAAGAGTTGCAGCAGTTATCAGACCCAGAGGTACGCAAAGTCAAGATTGACCACTGCAATGGTGAAATTAACCGGCTCTGTAAAAACCTCATGACACTGGAGTTTCAGCTGGTCAGCGAGATGGAGGTTAGTGTATGCTAGAGTTTGTACACTTGTATAATTTGTAAAATATCTCAATGAAATTTCATGAAATTTCTTAGTTTATAAATTATGTTAAAGTACTTGATATGTCATGAGACTGTATGTCTGTGTTTCACATTTAATCAAAGTGATGCTGCTTGGTCATTTTAGGAGAAGATCAAAACTTTTGAGAGCAGAATCTCAGACATGGTTAGACACTTCAGTGAAATCGCACAGGGGATATATCCTTTTTTTTTTTTACAGGAAAATAACAGAACTGCCTCAAAAACATTCTAAAAACACTCATTACTGTATGCTAGTAATTATATAGTCATGAGCACTCCGACTCACTGGTGACCTGTCCCTGCAACCTTAAACTGGATAAGCAGAAGAAAGTGGTTCATCAACTCACCAGAGTGTTGTAGCACAAATGAGGGTTTAATGGGGTTTAATCAAACAGATGTTTTCCTGTGTGAGTGATTTCTTTAACAAAACAATACGTTCTCCCACTGTCGAGATCTTGAAGATGACTATTATCAGAAGATGCAAATAGTTGCTGCTAAAATCTTGCAGACAGTGGCCAGAGACGCCCGGAAGGAGGACTTGCCAGATGATGTTATAATGGTCAGTGTCGTCCTTTATAAGCCAAACTGGTATTACAAAATATATGGTTACAAATATATGGCTGGAAAAAAAACCCTGCAAGTTTCTGTCTCTGTTCAGGTCTTTGTTAATCTAACAGATAACTGTGCATGAATAGAGGGTGCAGATCATTGCGTGTAGTTTTCAAAGAGTGAAAAAAGAAAAAGAATCAAAGAAAATACAAAAACTGCATTATATTTTTTTCAATTCCAGATCAAGTATAATATATTTCTTCAGGTGAGCTTAAAACATTGTGCGCTAACAGTATCAAGGCCTCATTCTGTCACTCCTATGTTTTATATTTTAGCTGTTTGAAGACAGAGATGCCGTGATAGATGCACTGGCCACAGCCCACGATAACCACCTCCTGAAGATCAATGACCGAGAGACTCAGTTGACTACAGGCATCAGTGCCTGGAAGGAGGCCCTCATTAAGGGGGTAGAGAACTGAAATTACATTAAACAAACAGTCTAATGTAAAGTCGACATATAAATCTTGTACTTACCGTCATTTCTTTATATGTTGCTTCCAAGTAACCAAATCTTTTTGTATTTTTTAAGTGATCTTGAGCAGTAGTTCTGTAGGATTTCCAATAGTGTTTTTTGAGAGAACAGAATCCAAAGAAGAGATTTGAATGTCCTTCAACTATTCCTGAAAACTACGACTAAGAGAGTTCAAACTGTGTTGAAGAATAAAGGTGGACATAATAAATACTGATTTTCAGGCTCTGCTTTGTTTTCCAGTTGTTTTTTACGCATTTCAATAAATCACTGCATGCATTTCCAATTTTCTTAGCAAAATATAAAGAAATGAGAGGGGGACTCAAGACTTTTGCACTCTATTTTAATATTTCTTTGATCAAAGACTATTTCTTTGTTTGATGGCTTTGTTGCTTTTTACAGATAAGAGATGAGGAACTGAAGCGGAACCGCATGAACATCTCAGACATCCACAGATATGTGGATAATTTGAGGGAGCAGCTGGAGGAGTTGATATAGTGGAAACCACTTGGCGGCCTCAAGAACACTTCAAAAACCACTGTCAGTGAATACAGTTGTATTCACAAATGAGGGTTCAAACACTACCGCTAAAAGAGAAAAAAAGATACAGAGCAAGAACCTATACTCGGGGCATGAGCTACTGTGCTGTGAAAAAGTATTTAACCACTTTCTGATTTCTCTGTTTTGTGTGTGTGTATTTATCACAGTGGCTCTGTGATGTACTTGTACACTCGTGCTGCAAATGAAAGGTTGCTGGTTCAGTTCCAGGCAGAGACACAAATCCCCTTTGGGGGAAGGAAAGGCATCTATACAACCACCTCTGCTCACAACAAAGAAAACTGCAGTTCACTACAAACAAATTCACATAAGACAACATCAATTGCCCTGAATTTCGCTGTAAAAGATTCATTTATTGGTGAAAAGGCCAAAACGACCAAGGAAAGATAAGCAAAACGGTGGAGAGTAAACAAGGAATCTTAAAATCCAAAAGCCCTTGAAGAAGTGAAAAGTGGAGGTCGTAGGTCAGTGCAAAGCGGGAAGTGCTGAATGTCAAGAAAGCACAGAAAGGGAAGAAAAGGAGAAAGCAGCAAGCAAAAATACAAAACAACTGTTGGAAGTGCAGAAAGTATTTGAAGAGGAGAAAAGTGTAACACAGATGGCAAAAAAGAAACTTCAAAACACAAAACGGGAAGTGGAAAATCCCAAGAAAGAATTACAGGAAGTCCTTAAAGCGCTTGAAGAGGAGAAAAGTAAAAGGCAGGAGGCAACAAACGAACTGGAGAATGCAAAGATTGGTGAGCCGTTGACCATTCTGCTCTTTTGTTTACCTAATTATGTAATTGAACTGCTGTGAATTAACCTTAATTGATCTCAACACTTTCTAAAATATTGTATGATTCTATGTGTGATTTCAGCACTTCAGACCCATGTTTTTTTAAAATATACTAAATCATGCAAACGTGAGTTGGTCGCTGTCTGTGTTAAAGTGTATAAATAAAGCTACTGTTAAAAGAAAAAAATCTTGAACTGCGTGAGATTTGAATACAATACCCAGAACAACTTTCGGTGCCTTTTCCAATAAGAATCCAGCTGAAGCAGCCGCGCGCCAGTTCCCAGCCAATCAAATTCAGGGAAGAGGCGTTTGGCAGAAGCGAGTTCTCGGACTAGGTTTTCATTTGAGCGAAGTTTTGGAGCTCTGAGAATTTACGTAGCTGACAGGCCCTCCTGTCTCAGCACCCACTTTTTCTCTCTGCAACTGCGGTGTTCCCGGTGACAAAGCTCATGACGGTTGCTGACGGTGGCACCTTATCGCTCGTCATGCCTGTCCGAGCAGAGTACCGCGGCACCACCCGATCGGCCTGCCCATCCTCGGCCTCTCTCGTCCCCCCTGCCCCGATCAACACCCACCAGCCGGGGGTGGCCACCTCGCTTCTGTACAGCGGCGCACAGTTTCGTGGATACCAGAAGAGTAAAGGCAACTCGTACGACGTTGAGGTGGTCTTGCAGGTAATTTTGTGGTCCTGTATAGTTGTATACAAAGTCTGCATATGAGTAGACTCTGTGCATCCATAGTTGCTAACTTGCTATCTTTCCAGATGTTAGCTTCATTAGCTCATTTTTTGTTTTTTGTTGCTTTTCGTACATGTTGAGCAAATTTTGAGCTAGCTTAGATGACCTTATGTCTTCTTTTGGAGTTTGAATTTGGGACAACTTGGCTTTAAAACCGATGTTTCACAGACAAGTTGGCGTTTAACCCCCCCTCAAAGCTACCTAAATTGCAGTATTAATATAGCAGCTTGTGTTGACACAGCTAATATAATATTTCCCATCTCGGTGAGCTTTCCCACCAACTTACAGACAGTTTTCTTGTTACCATGAAGGATTTTGTGCTTGTCATGTGGAACCATCAGTAAAATATGTGTTCTGTCTTTCTCAGCATGTGACTGTAGAGGACTCGTATTTGTGTGGCTACCTGAAAATCAATGGCCTGACTGAGGTAAGTCTCCCAGCTACATCATGAGTAGTAAGACTGACCTTTATTCTTTTGAAGTCGTTCCACTGACTGGTTTCCACTCGCTTTAAGCAGACTGCAATGTGACACAGTACATTAGACCAGTGGTTCACAACGTTTCCACTTCAAAAGCAAAAAATCTTAAAAATGTAATCAATCAACTTATGAGTAAAAGAAGAGCCAAGTTTAACTTTAGTTAAATAATGGCCAGCTTGGTTGCATCAACCAACTCCTTTTTTTTAAACTTTCCCTAGAACAATCCCATTCATTCAACTTAAGCAAAGTAGATTTGGCTAGATGTGAGGCCTTTAGGGCTAACCACACATGCTTAAGCTCAAGTGTCAGCTGTATACCCATTACATTATGTAACATATGGAAGCAAAAAGGTCAGGGGGATCTTGGGTTAAAGTTCAGCTTTGGCAGAGCGAGTGAAAGATGAGAAGTCAGGTTGTGAGTGAAGGAGTTGTATTAAAGCTCACCTGGTATCCATGAGAAAATTAAAGCAAGGGAGCATTCTTATTAATGCTGCTTTATTATTTTTATATGTTATACAGTACCATATTTTAAGAAATTGTGAAAGCAGCCAGATGAAAAGGAATAATACACTATATCTATTCTGCTGATCCTGAAGCTTAAGCCCTGCCCATCAACATGTAAATCACAGGAAATCTGGACATTTGAATAGGCTATTTGCACAGTGCAGGATAAATGCAATTTTAAAACGAGTACCAAATCACGTTGCGAACAGTCCCGTTTTATCTTTCCCTCCTAATTCATTCTGTGTCTGGCAGGAGTATCCGACTCTAACAACGTTCTTCGCTGGAGAAATGATCAGCCGGAAGAGGCCATTTTTAACTAGAAAGTGGGATGCGGATGAGGATGTGGATAAAAAACACTGGGTAAGTCCTGCTGATTTTTAATTTACTGATTTTAACTGCTGCAGGAAGTGCTGTTAATAATTTTACAATGATCAAAGAAGTAGTACTTGATCATTAAAGTGCATGTGAACGAACAACGTGCTTTTAGTTTTCTTCATCATTGATTTTTAAGTTTTTGGACATGTGTCAGTTTTCTCTAGCTTGGAAAACTGGATACCATGACACAGCTTTTTCTCAAAAGGGCACAGTTAAAGTCGCCACAGCTCCTTATCTAACCAGTTTGAGGGCAGTTTGTGTCCTCATGTCTTTCAGGAAAGCCTTTCCTAATGTTGTGTGTGGAGGTCATTGCTTCGCCATTCCTGATTTTTCAGCTAACAATGGGTGTTAAATAACACCTATTGTGTTATTTAACACTTATACTACTTTATCCCCTACTTTATCTTCTGCCATGTAGAAGATAAAGTAGGGGAATCAAACAAAGCCTATTTCACAACAGTTTTGTTTTTTTGTTTTTTGACCTGATATTAAGGAGTATGAGTAGCACAGGTGTTACTAATGATGCAGTGCTTTAATTAATGTGATTGTTGACACCTGTTTACCAACTCGTTTATATCCAAATGGTTACTGTCAGAAGATCTGTTGCAGATGTTGGTATTTATTTCCTGCTCTTCTGTTTTATCACCAGAGCAAGTTTAAGGCTTTTTGCAAATATGCCAGGAACTTCAACTCTGATGACTTTGACTATGATGCACTGGAAAACAGTGACTATATCTTCATGAGGTGGAAGGTTGGCACTCTGTCATTCATTTTAGCTGTGAAATTAATTTGTGCGTGTTCTCAGCTTGGGGTCAGACTTTAACCTCCGCTCTCGTTGTGCACTCAGGAGCAGTTTCTAGTTCCAGACCACACGATCAAAGATATCAGTGGTGCCTCCTTTGCAGGTTTCTACTACATCTGCTTCCAGAAGTCCACAGCCACTATTGAGGGTTACTATTATCATCGGAGCTCAGAGTGGTAATTACTAATCATTAAAACAGTTTTCACACATGCACCTCAGCCACGTGACTTTGCATCCATGTGTTTGTTGGAATGTTGTGTAAAATTTTGCAAATCGTAAACTTTTATTCACAGTAGTACAAATAAAACGATCAAATGTACCATTTTAAGAAAAATATCAACTCATTTGTAATTTGACGCCAGAAACGCGTCTCAAAAGTTGAGAAAGGGCTGCGTTTACCAATGTGCAGCCTCCTATTTTCTTAATCTTCTGTAAACTACCTGGAACAGACAAGTTCAGCTGCTGGGCTTTCGTCTTCATAGAATTGTAGCTGCCTGAGTTGGCTTTGTTGTACGTTTTGTTTCACTATGTGCCAAATGTTTTTAGTTGGTGAAAGGTCTGGACTGCAGGCAGGCAGTTCAGCACCTGGACTCTTCAACCATGAAGCCATGCTGCTGTAATTGATGCAGTATATGGTTTAGCATTGTCTTGCTGAAATATTGAAGGCCTCCTGTGGGGAGAAAAGACTTATGGATGAGAGGATATGTTCTAAAACCCGCATATACCTTTTAGCACTGATCGTGCTTGTTCCAGATGTACAAGCTGCCAATTATAGGCACTAAAGCACTCATATACCAGAGAGATGCTGGCTTGTTAGAGTATTGCCAACAACAAGGTGGTCAATCTCCTTTTTTGTCATAAGGACCAGCTTTCTTATTTTCCAAAAGGTATTTCAATTTCCTTGACCTTCAACACAATCTGAATCTGAATTAGAGAAGCAGAAACAAATGAATTGATGATTTTTAGTCTTGTGTGCTGATTTCTTCAGATTCTCAGTCTTTGATATGATACTGTAAATCAGATATTCAGTCTTCACAATTCTGTGTTATGAAACGTTTTTCTGAATTTGTTCAATAGTTTCTAGATGCGGTTTCCTGTCGATTGCTAAGCTCCAACCATCCTTGCTTCTGGGAAACTTTGCCTCTCTTAGATGAACTTTTCAGACATGTTGTTACATCAACTTCAAAATGAGTTAAAGTATTTAAGTGTTACACTTGTGCAGTTCAAACATTTTGTTCTGAAATTGACAAATCACTGTTTGTTTTTATTCATTTATACAAGTTTTTTGGTATTGGGATTGTAAAGGGGAAGAGTAGCAGTGGTAATAAATGCTCTGCTACTGAAAGTAAGCCAGGACTATATGGTGGCTATAATAGCAGAAAAATATAAATTGGGAGGTGGTGCAAAGTGGGAATAAATTGGAACGGTGCCAGGGTTATTATGTATCACTAGAGGGAGTCATCCCAATTTGAATAGGTGTACTCACAACATTGATATAATTCCTGAAGGTAATAATATTTCCTCATGTTTCCTTAAGTTTTAAATTGCTTTCAACAGTCCTTTGTATTCTTTTCTATAACTTGTTATGGCCTCA